GATGATGATGATGATGATGATGATGATGATGATGATGATGATGATGATGATGATGATGATGATGATGATGATGATGATGATGATGATGATGATGTTGTTGTTGTAAGGCAAAGCAAAAACAATCCCCCCACCCCCCAGCCAAAAAAACCCCCACACAACCAAAGATTTTAAAGCTAAAGATTTTCTTCTTAAGCTTTTTTTATATTGTGGGGTTTGTTTTGTTTTGTTTTGATGGGGGGTTCTTGTTGGTGTGGGTTTTTTGTTGGGGTTTTTTTGGGTCTATTTATTGTTTGGGGTTTGTTTTGCGGCAACTGTTTAAATATATTTAATCAACCCCTTTTCAATCCGTAAGCTGTTATATTCTCCTGGATTGATGGTTCCAAAAGTAGATACAATAAATTAGTAAACACTACACCCAGCAGAGACGAAAACCACGGGTAGCGGATAGAGGAAAGGGTTCCCGATCAAAGTCTAACTGTTCTCCACTTTGATACTGTTTAGTCGGGTTGTTTTTGTTTTTGGTTGTTTGTTTGTTTTTTTGTTTCCCTGAGCAATAAGTCTGCACATACAATAACAGAAGACAAAGTCCGACTCAAGTCCTATTCTGATTTTTTAATAGCACGATTGTCAGGCCATGACACGATAATAATACCTTGATTAACCGCATAATCACTATACTATACACAGTGGGAAGGCTCACTATCTCTCGCCACCTGCACATAGAATTTCAAAATAGATATCTCTATGGCCGAGGACAACAGTTTCAACAAGCAAAAACAACAAACTAGAAAAATATATTAAAGTAAATTAACAATTATTTACACAGCGGTGTTTAATAGCAACATATTAATGGTTTGAAATTACCTTTATAGAAGAAATGTAAGGCACAATTTAAGGGCGAAAAGAACAGTAGCCTACTATGTCCTAAGTCAAATAGAACGTCGGCAAAGGTTCTTATCAAAACGATAAGCGAAATCGCATTATCATTGAGGCTATCGGTATACCGTATACGAGCTACGTCGGGAGGTTATAACATTCACTCAAATTTGTGAAATTACTTCCTTGTTGAAGCTATCAGCATATAGAGATATGTCGGCAGGCGAGTTATCATCAATGCAAAAAGTTTAGTGAAGTCACTTCCTTGTTGAGGCTATCTGCATCAGAGCCATCCATACCTTTGATCATAAAATCCCACGGACTGACAATGCTATTATACCTTATTGTCTGTCTGCATGTCAGTGGGTGTGGAGGTTTGTTTCTGTTTGTGTGTATGCATTCGACTCTCTGTTTCTCTGTCGGTCTGTCTGCCCGTCCATCCATCCGTTTGTCTGTCTGTCTGTCCGTCTGTCTGTGTGTCTGTCTGTCATCTCTCTCTGCCTCTCTCTCTCTCTATTATATATATATA